GGTAGCAATTTAGGAAGGCAGCACATTATAAAAATAAACAAGTTGATAAAAAAAAAGGCATCAAGAACAATTGGTAGAGACCTAAGTAACTTTGAATATCTGCACAAGACAAACGTTCTAAAAAAGGCGGAAATAATGCTTGCTTAGTGACCATAGCCACTCACTGACAACGGAATTTTAACAATCGACCCGCAGTAAACGATACATTTCCAAAAAAGCAAGAACAGACAGATATAGAAATTGATTCGTACCAACTGCAGTGAGGTTACTGAACACATAGTACTACAAAGGAGAGAGAGAGAGAGAGAGAGAGAGAGAGAGAGAGAGAGAGAGAGAGAGAGAGATAGAGAAGAGAGAGAATGATGTAACTGAAAATTGACACTAACAAACACCACACACTTCTTTGAAAGACAAGAAATTGGATCCCTAATCTTTTGTCAAATATCGATACTGTCACATCGGGCCAACTTGGATCAAATGTTTTTTTCTGGACATCAACCTATTCGGCAAAGCAAAATAAGATAAACCCCTTATGTTGAGCTACTCTTTCAAATATCTTCAGTGTCAATTCAGGAAAAAAATCAGTAAAATTCGATGAAATACCCAAGCTCTGAACAGTGAGACTGAAATTGACATTTTATAGTATGTTGTTGTTGTGTCACTCCAGGGCGTTTACTGTAATACAATACAACACTCATTGTTTCAATCACGGTCGGACACTAGGATCTCTTTATTTTTAAGAGTAAAGCTTTACAATTTTGCTGCTTTAATTTGGTCAATGATCAACCAGCAGTTGTTTACGTTTTGACCGATCAGTTCAAGAAACCCGTAGGCCAGATTTGTCTAAATATAGTTTCCCCCTTAACCTTGGCCGTTGATCTTCCTCTGTCACATATCTTATCGACGTGAGGGTCGGACTGTGAATACATTATTTACAGCACGATCGTTAGATCGAAAGAAATGGGACGGAAAAAGCACTCGTGGACTAGAGGTTACGGTGTTCACCTCTCATTCATAGATCCCGAGTTCGAATCCGGGTAACAACAGAAAAACAATTCTCTATAATGTTTCTCCTTTCACATTCTTTCCTGCTCTCTATCAATGTTCTGTCGTCTATCGTCTTTTCCACTTTCTGCCCCCTCCCCTTCACCCCCTTTGGACCCTCGGCTGGGCTATTGACTTTCTGCAGTCTTTCTACTGCAACTTCTTGGCTCCTTCTTACTGCTGTCTTTCAGCCACACCACTGATCCTTAGGTAGGAAAGATCTACACCTAGCCTACTAGGACAAGGGCGAAAAATCTCGGAGGTCCTGTGTGTACGTTGCGCACGTTAAAGATCCCCCGTTGGTCTAAAATCGATAACAGTAGGCTTCAGCCGTCACCCGGGTAAAATTCCAAATTTCCAACAAACTGATAATGTTTGGTGTGTCACGCGCGCTCATATGACCTTATGCAGTTGCGAGCGCCGTAAAACACCCCAAAAAAAAAAAAAAAAGAAAAAAAAGAAGAAAGATCTACGATCACGAGAAAAAAAAATTGATTTTCGGCAAATGTGGCATACGGGTTTCTTTAACTGAACCTTTGTTATCATGTACCGGTTCGCCCCGGGGACCGAACCCAAACTGTTCGAAAATCCGGACGGCACGTCAAGCCGTAGTTTGTCCAAGCCTGCTCTACTTGTTTGCGTTGTTTGCTTTTGTCCAACTTTTAGGCGACCCTTGGGAAGGAGTTGCTGAGATGAATAATTAGGGAACTGTTACATAATTTGTTTGAGAACTAGATCTAGGTCTAAACTTAGAAGATATCAAATACTGGGAATCCCCACATGACATCAGCTGACGTAGATTTAGGAATGCAAAACGATGCATGCAAGTTTGGGAATACATAGAGGAAACTGGTTCCTCCAAAAATCCGTTTCAGTCAATTGAAAAATATCTTCTCCTCCAATACTCCGACCACTACGACAAAACAACAACAACAAGCACACGAACGAACAAACGAACAAACGAACAAACAAAAAGCAACAACCACAAGAAACCCAGCACAATAGAAACCTTTGTCTAACTTACGAGAATAAAGAAACGAAATAAAAATTCAAAAACGCACTCACATACACACACAAACACACACGCACACGCACATAAACCCACAAATCGAACACACACACACACACACACACACAGAAAAAAAAAACACACACACACACATTACACGCACACACACACACACACACACACACCGTACTTGATCTACTCTAAAGGTTAATGTTGTTAGCCATTCACCTCAATTGGAATTATGCAAAATAAAATGGCTCTCTGTTTTTATGATAATTATTCGGTAGGTTATAATTGCCGAACATTGTACATTCATACTGGAGGCAGAAGGTTAGGTAAAATGAATTGGTCAGTTCCATAAATACATGTAGTATATTACAGATCTGAACTCACTAACTCACTCCTACTTTTCGCCTCTTGCTTTCGCTCTCTCTCTCTCTCTCTCTCTCTCTCTCTCTCTCTCTCTTT